CTTGGCTGGTTATCTTTCCAGGATGTCCCTGAACAGCTCTGTTCCATCTACCATTCAAACACTCCCTATTCCTGTCCCTAAGCCTAAAATATAGACAGAGGGCATCGCACTCCTAAGACAAACATTCCTGAAGAACATGCCCTGCTGGTAGTCAGGGAAGAAGAATCTTCCTTTTGAGACTGGCATTTCCTCCTCCTCCCACCTCTTCTGGGACCTTGAGCCATCATTTTTCTTTGTTTTATCCGCACATGGTCTTTTCCTTTCACTGGCTCCAGGTCTTCTGTCTTAAAAATGCTGAGGTTGTAGTTCTCCTGAAAAAAAATAAAATAAATAAACCTTTCCTTTGACCCTGCTGTTTCCTCAGGCTGCCACTCTGTCCAACAGTTCCCAGGGAGAATACACTCCCCTCCTGCTGTCTAATCTTGTTATTTCTATTACTGGTTTCCAGCCTCATAAATGAGGCAAACCTTTGTCTGGCAGCTACTCAGGAGGGGGATGCTCTCTTAAGGGCGATTGGAGCTGAGTTTTGATCTGAGGAATGTTCAGATCCACAGGAAGGCTCAGAAGCGATACTCCAGAGAGACTGAGGTGAGATTCTAGAGAGCTCACCCTAACTGTTGGACAGAAAAGCCACATGTTCATAGCAGCTGGGACTGAAGCCAAGGGTAAGGAAATTCGGATTACCAATTAAGCGAAAGACCCCTTACATACTAAAATGACCCAGAGAAAAAACTTGAAAGAGTGGCTTCAAATATGAGCCCAAACTTAATATGCTGAAGAATCCAACATAATCAATTTCAAAAATTTGTCATTTATGTTCAGTAGTGAAATAAAGCAGGGTATCCCAGAGGCTGACCTCAAGCCAAGGATTTTGAGTGTGAGTAGTTTGTTAAGGTACAGCTCCCAACAGAAACCAGCAAAGGAGCAGAAGAAATGAGAAAAGGAGTAGAAGAAGCAGGCTGGGGAAGGGAAGAAGCTAAGAAAGGTGAGATTTCAGGTGAAGTCCTAAGACTCAGCTTGAGGACCTGAGGTGCTTTGTGTTACTCCATCTCAAGACAGAAGAGCCAAGTGTTTGCACTGTCACACCAGTAAGTCACTGGTGGGAGTAGAGGAGGCTGTAAAATTTCCCAAAACTTTTACTACAAGCCAGGGACTCCCTGTAAGTGACCCTTGAAACTGATAGGTGCAAATACTTTACAGCAAGAACGTTGAAGCTGGGGATTAATGAAGAGCGCTGGTAAAAGAGGCTCAAAGCTAAATAAATGCAACTCCAGTATAAGGTGAAGCAATTGAAAGGTACGCGGTGCTGCTGAAATCTTTGATGATGGATCAACCCAGTACTTGTGTGGACATTCTGAAGGCAGCCTGGCAGTGCTTAGTGATACTGACCATGCACAAACCCTGTGATCCAGCAGTTGTCTCATTCTTCCTTAAATATCCCAGGAAAATCGAATACATCCCTATAGAGGCTTGCATAAAGATGTACAGTATAGCCTCACTTGGGATAACAAAGGACTGGATAAGTTAAATGTAAGATTCTGTATGTCTGCCTCTCTGCCTCTAGGTAGTCCTTCATATCCACAGGTCCCTCATCCATGGATTCAACTAACCATGGGTTGAAAATATTTGTAAAAAATTTGCATTTATACTGAACACCCAGAGAGCTTTATAGTTGTCATTTATTTCCTAAACAGCACAGCATAACAACTATGTATTTACTTATTGTTTCTTAGAATTAGGTATTATAAGTAATGTGGAAGTAATTTACAGTATAAGGAAGATGTGTGTAGGTTAGGTACCATGGCATTTTACATAGGGACTTGAACATCAGTGGATTTGGTTTACGAGGGGATCTTGGAACCAATCCCCTTTGTGTACTGAGGGATAGCTATATAACCCCATATATAGGAATTTCGCCTCTTACTTATGTAAATTGTTCATTCATTATTGTTCTTTAAAGGCTTTAAATAGATTATATGTATATTTTATGTATTCTTTTTATAATTTGGAGAGGAAAATTATTTCTAAAGACAATACAGATTTAATTAGCTGAAATAAAAAATGTCAAAATGAACAGAAATAGGGAACAGTGGGACAGACAGACAGTTTCTTTGAAGAAAGGCCATCTGCCTTCCCCTTTCCTTAGGAAGAACTCCCTCCTTGCCTTCCCCATACCCATCCTCAGCTGCTCAGCAGAATTCCATCATTCCCAACAGGGTCTCGATTGGAAGTTAGGGGGAGTAATAAGGCTTCACCCCTCTGAGTTTCATAACACAGAGAAAAAATAGGTCAGCGTCAGTGATTCATTGTGGAAATGTGTGTCCCTAAAGCTTAAAGAAGCACATGTATTCCCTTTACCTATTCACTTTTTGATTTTCCCTTTTCAAGATATTTTAAAAGCATGCAAATGGAACTGAAGTTGATCCTAATAATCATACTTTGAGAGAAGTAGAGAGCTATAGTTCAGGGAGAAATGGCTGTGTCCTGGAAAAAATGTGAGCAAATGGAGTGAGTCAGGGCTGTGCCCTGGAGGCGCCTGTGGCTTGACTTAGCTGACAGTGTGACACTGTGTAGACTGGGCAAGGCCATGACTCCCATCTGGGATAAATCTATCTCACAGTACCAAGTACACAATTGCATCTACCTTCACAGAACCAGATTCAAATAAACAATGATCAATTCCATGTAGATCAGCTAGATAAGAGGACTGTGGTTTAAGATCAAAGAGGAAAAATTCATGGAATTCCCTGTGTTCCCCTAGGAAGATTCCATGACTCTTCTAATTATATTTAGAGTTAACATTGCTGTTCTTCATTTATTACCCCCAGGAAGAAACATAGTTGATAGACTCTACTGAATAACACTGATGCTAAAAGCTTAGGAGACTTGGAGATGTTACGGGTTCTGGCTTCGTCCAGAAACAAAAAACGTCAGAGTTAGTGCTAACCAAATATAGACAATGGGTGTCTTTGTTACTACTTGGAGGAAAGTATGATAGAAGCTTTTCCAAGGATTACTTTAAAAAACAATGGAATTTTTCACTGATATCAGAACATCAAGTGCCTATGGTAGACTGATACTCTGATTTAACTTTGCTTGTTTGAAGTATGGTGTGAAATCAATGAAGACGGTGCTCCACTGGGTTATTTTTGCAAATAAAGGAATATAAGCCTTGGAGTCACAAGATTGGAAAGTTTTTAATGGACGGTGCATTCTCTCTACTTCACTGAGTTTTGAATATTATAACAAAGAACAATAAAACTATGAAAAACAATAGCAGTGACAGATTAGTCAAAGACTCACAGTGGTTTTGGCTATTTCCTAGACTTAGTCTCAAAATTGCTTCATTACCTTAATAATTTAAAACTTGTTGGATAGATGTTATTTATTTATTTATGCGGTGCTTAGGGATTGAACCCAAGGCTTCCCATGTGCTAAGCAAGCACTTTACCTTTCATCACTAAGCCCCCAAGTAGTTTTTTTTTGAGTAGAAAATAACATTTAGTGACCTTTGCCAGAAACCTTACAATGTAGAGGCAATGCTATGTTGCTTATTATTGTGCCATTCTTTTGGTAATGACTGAATATTTATACCGAGAGTCACAGACGAAAGGGCCTCACACTGTGTTCACTGATAGAGGGAGAGCGGAATGAATGGTGGAGTGCAGGGATTATTAGGTCAGTGGAAGTTTCCTGAATAATTGGTAGTGGTGGGTACATGACACAATACAGCTTCCAAAATCTGTAGACGTAGAGCACAAAGGAATATTGCTTTATAGGCTTTAGCAATAGTATTGCATTAATATTGGTTCATTAGCTGTGACAAACATACCACATTGATACAAGATAAAATAATAAGGGACAGGAAGTGTGGAGTGGCGAGGGAAGAGGACATGTGGAAGCACTCTGCATTTAGGGTCATTTTTTCTGTAAACTTAAAACTACTCTAACAACAACATAAGATGAATTGGTATAAACTTAGATGAGATGGTCTTATAATGCATCTCTTATAAGCAAAGGAAGCTAAATTTAACTAGCAGAGGCAAAAAAGTAAATGTGTTGGTTTGTTGACTTAAGCTATGGGAAAGCATCAAGGAAAACTGGAACAGGAACTTACTTGGTCTTCTTTTTTTTTAAATCTTTGTGACAGTTCACATGGACTTTCTTCATAATTCCCAAACCACAGTGGACAGCAATTTTCAGGCTCACAATTTTTCAATCATAAGAGAGGATAGACAGGGTCCAAGGAGAGAATGGCTCTTTACAAGGCTGGAAAGAAATAGGGATGATAGAAGCCCATTGTAATTATTCTGGCAAAAGACAATGGTGTACAGACTAAAAAGGGAGACATAGAGACAGAGAAATGGTACAGTTCTGGGAATGTTCTGAAGATAGGGCTTTCTGGATTTATTGAGGCACAGGGTGTAAGGAGTGAGAGCAAAGAATGAGAAATCACTTTGAAGTTTTTGTCTTAATAACTCAAAGGATGGTCTTGTATTTAACTGAACAGAATGTTATCATGGTAGCATGGGTTGGAAGATATCAAGGGCTCTGTTTTGAACATATTGTGGTCAACTAGCCATCCAACTGGAGAGGTCAAGTAAGCAGTCTGAATATGGATGAGTGCCTTCCTCAGGATATCCACCTAAAATAATATGCATTGACTGTAATTCCTTATTGCCTAATTCCTTTCTCTGGAAAGCAGGCTCCATGAGGTAGCCAACCTTTCCTGTTTTGTTCGCTGCTATCTCTCTATTAACTAGAAGAATGGCTGGGCCATAGTAAATGCTCACAATGTACTGAAAAAGGTAAAATAAAAGAGTGGCTGATAGAGCTAAATATTCAGTTCAACATAGTAGGTTGATCAAGACTAGAGTAGCACGAGAAACTATCTGAAAGTAAAATTTCTTGCCTGGTTAGTACTAATGAGAGATTTACAACTGGTATTATGTAATGGACTTGGTTAATGAAGAACTACGTAAAATCAAGAGACACTTGCAAAACTTCTGTAAAGTTTTATTTTATATTCATGGGCCTCTGTCAACCCAGGGCCTTCGCTTATGGCTCATTTCTACAAAGTTACTTGTTGAAAAGATGTGGTGAAGGTAGAAATTGGAACTATTCCTACTAGTAAACCATTGTTACTTACCAGTCCATAAACAAAATGCACATGGAGGCTTATGTAGTTACTCAGAAATGTATGACTTTCTGAATTTATACAATGCTTTTTTTATATGTAAGAAACAAAGCATCTTAAAAAAAAAGACAACTGTCTAAACAAAATGGTGTGGACCTATGGCTTATATTATAGGCAAATATCACTGCATATGATGTACCAGTGGCATAATTGAATCTGACAAAGAGACAAGGGAGCAGTATTCTTTAACCCTGCAGTGAAAGCAACTGGAAGCTCATATATTTCACTCGTGATTGTGCTAAAATACTACCCAATAAATTAGCTCAGCTCATTATCACCAGTAATCTGGCAAAGCTTGATAGAAACATCAGGTGACTTGTCAATCTCATCACCACACTGAGTTGACATTAGAACAATATAATACTTTAAAATGCAGTGTCTGTTGTTCCAGCATAAGGAGCAATATGACCCCAAATACTCCTTTGCCAAACCAACCAAACAAAACCCTGCATTGTATGAACACAGGGCTCATTCCCTTGCATGCTGCTTCCATGTTTTATTTGCAGTGGTAACATGGTCACAGGATTTCTGAACACAGCAGATCCTAATATGTGAAAAGTGACCAAGGCAGTTTTTGCAATGAACAGTCACCTAGATTTTACACAGAGTGTGTGCTTTGGCACAATCACAGGGCATTATGAGATTCAGTCATACATACTTTCACACGTGTGCATATATCACACACACAAATACATTCCATAGAGACAATCACAAAAAATTGGTTAAAAGGAATTTACAGCTGTTTATATACATATTTACAAATACACACACATACAGAGTAACATTTTTTTGTACTCGGTCTGTAAACATTTGGGAAAATGCCCAGCAAAAGTCACTGTGGGCCCTTTGAAATTGTGATCATGTGAGATGAGAATTTAGGTTCATACCAGAGACCCAAAGGAGTGAAGAACCAAAATTTAATGGTGAGAGTAGCTATATCTCACTGACATGATAAACTCATCTGCCCACTTTGAAATTATGCTGCTTTCTCAGAGAAAAGAATGACCAAAAATGTCTTAAAGCCAGTTAACTTGTTACGAGAAATTTAAAAACTAAAAGAATACAAAGGTATATATATAGTACTATTACAAAAACTCAATGAAAATTTCCAAATCCTCTGTCCAATCTTTTTCACTTACAAGTGCTTTAGACTTCTATACATTGCACTGAAAGTGTCAGGCATAGTTAAATGCCACATTAATTTGAGTTTTGAACATGGTTTTTATACTTCAAAATTTACATTAAAAAGATTGGGTTTGTGAAAAACAGAACTATTTCATCCAAGCATTACTTTGGAATTTAACACAAAAATATGTTCATGATCTATACCACTACATCATGAAAAAAGAAAATATAGGCTTTCAACATTTTTTGATTAGCAGCTATTAAGTTGCTATATGTTATCAGTCTGTGTTTTGAGTAGCTATTCTTTTGCTGTTTTGAGTCTATATCTTAAAAATAAAACAGTGACATAAGGAACAGACTAATAGCTCATCTGAATATTGTTTTTTAATTAAGATATGTGTAAATTAGCTCAAATAATCATTTATAGGCTAGTATGTGGTTAAAACAATACTGGCACTGAATGGCATTTTAAAGAAAAGTGACTTTAAACCTATGATGTTTGGCTGCTCCCCAAAAGGACTTCAAAAACAAAATCTTGTCATAATCTCTAAACTTCTGTGGTGATCAGTTCCATGGAACATGCAACAGAACTGTCATGAAAGCTAGCCATGTACTTTTAAATTGTTTTCATGCAAAAGTAGCAAAATCCTTCTAATTTCATTTAACGGTCTCCATTCTCCACTAATTCCCACCATTTTTAGTCTTGCGTACAGCATACAAACTATGTAAATTACACAAAAACAAGTGAGATTCATGGATTTTGTGGGTATAAAACATTTCACTCTCCATTGTTTTGGAAACACATCGGAACATTTTGCTCCCCACAGGGGTGCTACTGAGTTATGGAGGAAGGACCAGAGGTTTCCGGAGACGCAGCTGCAGTGTGATGGTGTTTTTCTCCAACAGGATTTGAAGGCATGTTGATGGATGCTTCATTAGATGTTAGTTAATGCTGTCCTTATGGCTGCTCCTCTCCGTGTGGTGGTTGTTTTGGTCATGGTTTTTCCACTGGATGCTTGTTCCATTCATGGGGACTGAGGTCATCAGGCTTTTGGACTGGTGACAGCAGCAACAGAGGCATGACTGGGAGAGGGGAGAGACTGTGAATAACATGAACCAATAACCCTTCCCCGCTGAACACAGGGGCTCTGGAGCACAGCAACAAGGGGTCCAGGTATCTACCTAAGGCTGTAAAACTGTCCCTCTAGGCCAGAGAAAGAGCTCCCTTCCTTCTTTTTAAAATTCTATTCACAAAGTGCAAGAGGAAGGGAAGGCATATTGATCAGAGGACAGGGTTCTCCATGGCATGGGGCAGGCGTGGGTGCCTGTTCTTCAGTGTGCACCCATTTGTGTCTCTCAGCATCAGGTGCCTCATCTGATCCTCACTACAGCCCAACCTAGGTAGGTGTGATTCATCTCCTTTTATGAACAAGGGTAATGAGGTCCAGAGAGGCTTGAATCAGAACCCAGGCTTTCTAGATTGGATTCTGTTCCTTTGGTATGCTGCCTTTTTAAGAAGATCTGTCAAACGTGCGTTTAATTTCTGAGAATTCGTATCTTGATTCTCTGTTCCTTATCATTAATGTGTAAATTAATTAGCCAGTGATATCAACCTCAGCTTATAAAATGTATTAGTTATGACCTGTGTATTAGTCAGTCCATTGTAGGCACAGCATTTCTGTGACCTGAAAACACTTTCAAGGAGATTTTAACAATATGGCGGCTAAAACTTCCATTCCAAGTCTCATCTGTGTGTTTGGTACTTTGGTTATCACATGTCTTTCTCTTTGGAATGTAAGTCTGTGAGGGCTATTACTGTGCTTCCCTTCTCTGCTCTATCCCTAATAATAATCAACTCATACTGTGCACTTATTTCAAGAGCTTTACTTATATTAACTCTTTGAACCTT